CTGGGGCGGGAGGAGGGGGTGTATTTCAGAGACGGCGCTCGCATCCCTTCCGCTTCTCCGGCTTTCACTCCCCGCCAGGCTCCTGACAGATCAAAATCCGTGTGGAGGCTCAAATTCGTGAGTTATTCTTAAAAGAATTTTTTTATTTTTTTTTTTTTTTTTTTTTTTTTTTGGTGGGCTGATTGGAAAGGAAGAAAAGATGTTCCCTCAACGCCGCACAGATCTCGCTCTTACATTAACAGACACATTATCCCCGAAACCGCAATTGTAAAATCACCTGGTACCTGAAGACAGGCGCTGAAGAAATCCTATAGTGCGAGTTTTTAGCTGTAACATGCACATAACAAGCTGTAACTGTCGAGATGCATCTTTTCAGCTTTTTTTTTCTAACTTGTTTTCTTTAGGAAATTCGGCATGAGATCTTAAGTAAAATCGTGACTTTGAGACTACTTAGACAACGAATTTATGCGTGAAATTAAGCGCTGAAAAGGGAATACAGAATTACTCCGGTTTTTAATTTGCCCCTGCTGGTTAAGGCTGTGGGAAACCCAGAAGTGACCGCGAAAGTTTATTGATCACCGTTGTTTGTGAGCGGTCAATGACTACCGATAGTTTTATATAAACCTGAAAACTGTTCTGCGTTTCTTTTCCTCCAATGATGAAAGAAATAGAACACCCATACTTTAGGCACGCGCCTCGAACGCGAGCATTCTCTGTATGCAAAAATGAGAAAAGCACTCGCACAAGGCTCCTTTTAATGCATTTCCTTGAAGTTTGTTACCAGGGTCAAAATGTTTGTTCATGATCCGTCCTCTGCTCCCGCCCCGCCCACCCGCGCAATGTGTTGTGGGAGTCTATATTCATTTATTAATGAAATAGCTTTAAAAAGAAAATAAATGACAATGAACTGAAGACAGGTTGTAGGAAAACAAAAAGGTTTATTGAGACCTATCAGAGCAACTTCCTATTTTTCCCCTAGGTGACAAGTTGGTTTCCCTTTCTTAACTTGCAGTGGTTCATCCACTCTGTTAAATGAAAATTTTACTGTACCAGACATTAAATGATATTCCAGGTAATAACGCTTAAAAAAGGGAAAGAATAAAAAAAGTAAACACTGCGTTTTGACTACAAAGAGAGCTAGAAACGATTTTTAGTACAGTACATTTGCATGAGAATTTAAGGAGCAAACACTATCTTGCACAGCAAAAACAACTTTGCCAGTAACAGCAAAATTAAAGCATTAGATCGTGCTTGTTTAATGATAAAGCGTTTTAACAGTACATCACAACTGCTAGGTTTAATAAAATTTGTAAACTGGACAACAGATGCTGAAAATTCAGAAAAAAAAACCCAGCGTCACAGCTCTTTCGAAAGACAAAGTCGGTGGCTCTTAAAAGAGCCTTTGGGTTGTCGAGGTGGTCCGGGAAAGAAATGTTTTGCTTTAGCCGCCAAAGCCGTAGAGGGTGCGTCCCTGGCGCTTGAGCGCGTACACCACGTCCATGGCCGTGACCGTCTTCCTCTTGGCGTGCTCCGTGTAGGTGACGGCGTCGCGGATCACGTTCTCCAGGAACACCTTCAGCACGCCGCGCGTCTCCTCGTAGATCAGCCCCGAGATGCGCTTCACGCCGCCGCGCCGAGCCAGGCGCCGGATGGCCGGCTTGGTGATGCCCTGGATGTTGTCGCGCAGCACCTTGCGGTGCCGCTTGGCGCCGCCCTTGCCGAGCCCCTTCCCGCCTTTGCCTCTGCCGGACATGCTGCCGCTGAAACCCCGACCAAGACGGGCCCGCGCGGCTGCCTTTATGCGGTGGGAGCCGACCTGGTTGGGGACTGCAGGGAGGAGGGGCGGGGCTTCGGGCTCCCTCCCGCCGATGCTCCGGCTTTCCGGTATCACAAAAATGGGGTTTCGTGCGAGTTTCCCTTCCCGTGGCACAAGCGGCTCGGTGTTGCTGCACTTTTTTTGGTATATTCGGTTTTTTTTTTTTTTTTTTTTTTTTCAGGTAGCAAAGGCATTGGGTCTGTGTATGTAATAGTTTATACACGCTTTTAAAGCTTTGATGCGTCCTATCATTTGGAAGCAAAATCTCGGTCATAGAAACATATCCCAGCTACTGAATCACTTAAATTATACTTTGATTTTTAACTATAATTGTTATTTTAAAATATGAGTATGTGTTATGTGTTGCAATTTCACCTGGTTGCATTGATCTCAAGCGTGACTTCAGTATTTTAAACAGCTGTTTCTTATGGTTTGGTTTTGGTTTTGTTTGTTTGTTTTAATGGAGCATCTTGCAGCAAAATCTGTCCAATCGTATTTCTGAGAAATTCTACCCCTCCTTGAACTTCTTTCTCATCTCCATTTCCCTCCCTTTCTGAATGTTTTCTCAGGGAGAGTTTAGTAATAAAGGTACGCTAACCGAGAATCTAACCCTTATGTGCTACACTTCAATTTTTTTTTTTAAGGTAAACCGATTCTTTTAGAGGAATATTTTTACAGTTCTTTCCATTCTTGTGGTGACATGGACAATAATGTGGCTATTTCTTAGAGAGATTGAAAATTTAAATAGGTAAAAAAGGGTTTTTTTTGTGCTTCAGGGGAAGGTATTCAACTCTAGTTTTGCTTTCTTTTGGGGAGGAAAATCTTCTGAGGTTTTATTGTTGAAAACAAGAAACAGTATTTAACTGAAATAATTCGGTAGCTGGCTTTCGACCTGAAAACGATCAGGAAGTGAAAAAAATTTCCGATATTAAGCGTTTGCTGCCCTCTCATGGACGTTGTTTGTTTTTTTTATTTCCCTTACAAGCTGAGTAGCTTCACATAATGTAATCTTTCATAAAGATAAAACATAAGATTAATTAATAATGTCTCTTCGCATAGGCCACACGTACAGGTGTTTTATCTCCTGGCAGAGGAATTACTATTCCAGTGGCCCGTCACTGGCAGATGAAAATAGTGTAGTCTGCCATGTTGTTCATGCACAATCTTTTCAGCATAGGCCCAAAGGAAACCTGAATCAGAGAATCATATAATGTTAGGGGTTGGAAGGGACTTCTGGAGTCACCTAGTCCACCCCCCCTGCTAAAGCAGGACCACCCAGAGCAGGTCGCACCAGATCACATCCGGGCAGGTTTTGAATATCTCCAGAGCAGGAGACTCCACAGCCTCCCTCGGTAGCCTGTTCCAGTGCTCTGCCACCCTCAGAGTAAAGAAGTTTTTCCTCCTGTTCAGGTGGAACTTCCTGCTCAGTTTGTGCCCGTTGCCCCTTGTCCTACCACTGGGCACCACTGAAAAGAGCCTGGCCCCATCCTCTTGCCACCCACCCTTTCAATATTTATAAGCATTGATAAGGTCCCCTCTCAGTCTTCTCCTCTAGGCTATAGAGCCCCAGGTCTCAGCCTTTCCTCGTAAGAGAGATGCTCCAGTCCCCTAGTCACCTTTGTAGCCCTCTGCTGGACTCTCCAGTAGCTCCCTGTCCCTCTTGAACTGGGGCCCCCTAAATGGGGCAAGACAAACACCAAAACTCTCAAGAAGACATCCTAAAGGCTCAAACCCATAACAAATGTCCTGTTCCACAAGGAACTAGACAGTATCCTAAGTTGACCTATGGAGATCCTTCTGGAGTACAGTGGGGATGCCACAGCTATGTTTGGGTGGTTCCCTTTCACAAGGCCACTTTGCTCCTTCCAGGGAGGGAAGTTCAGAGACTGTGGCTGAACTGCTGTGGGAAACCAGGCTACCGTGAGAAACTAGGCACTCTGTAGTCAGGTCCTCTGTCATTTCCATAAGATTTTGAGGGTAAGGTAGCTATATCCTTGTCCTGGTTTGGCTAGAGTAGAATCACAGCCCAGCCATGCTGGGCAGGCTGTTAGCAGTTTCAAGCCAGCCAGGGCAGCTGACCTGAGTTAGCTACAGGTGTAGCCCATGCCATGATGTCTGGTCATTATAAAGGGGAAAGATTTGCTCTGGCTTCTCCCTGCTCCTAAGGACTGCTCTCCCATTGATTGTGACTGCTGCATACTCATTTGGCTGAGCACAACCTTGTATACCTTTGTTGGTATTGGTGTTCTTTCATTAAATCTGCTTTTGCTTCAACCTACAGGTCTGCTCTCTTTTTTTTTTTTTTTTCACTGATTCCCCTCTCTACCTGGTGAGGGATTTTTGAGTGATGTCCTGGGTACAGCTAAACATAGACATTCCTACATTGGTAAGAAAAGATACTCCAGTCAGGTGAAGTTCCCAGAGACTGGAGAAAGGGGAATATTGCAGCTAGTTTTAAAAAGGGTAACAAACAGGACCCTGGGACCTACAGGCCAGTTAGCCTCACCTCAGTTGGTGTAACATTTGCTGCAGACTTTATCATTCTCTGAGTTCACACACAGGTTCCCAGGATGTTACTAACGGGGTAGTTTAGCACCACCTGCTACAGAGCTCCTTGAGTGAACTTTAGCATGAAAATGCAGTTCTTCAGTCTGCTCAATCCTTGGGAATCTGACTGTATCACAGGCCTCCTCTGAGAGTTACTACCATTTGCAGACCCCAGCCATGAAGTTACTGGATGATCCCGGGCTTCACCAAATCAGGTTTTGTTTCTGCTTTTTTTTTTCATGGGATAAAATTAAGTTAGAGCTTCATATTATAAACCTGTTCCATAATGAGCTGCTTCTGCCCAGGAATCTGTGACTAAATATATTTCCCCCTGTCTCTTGCTGTCTGTCTCTTTGCTCTCCTTGACAAAATGTCAGAACATATTTGGAAATTGATTTTTTTTTTTTTAAATAAGTAGATATGTACTTGTTCATAGCACTGTTTTTTAACTCATGACAGAAATTAATCTGATAAAGCAGAACAAGGTTAGAGCCAAGTTCCCTTTCTTCCCTCCTAGATGGTTCCAAATTAGACACCAAACTTCATCTGGTCTACTAGATCTGTCTGATAAAATTGAACTGTATCTGTAACTTGAGATAGAAATGCTATACCTTCTGGAGAGTTGCTGAGATTCATAGAATCATTTACATTGGAAGGGACGTTCACAGATCTTCTAGAGTAACCCTCATGCTGTGGGCAGGAACACCTTTCACTAGATCAAGTGAAAACCCTGTCCAATGTGTCTTTGGACATTTCCAGGATAGGGCATTCACAACTTCTCTGGGCAATCTTGTTCAGTTCACTTTCATCATAAAAACTTCTTCCTTGTGTCCAATATAAATCTACCCTCTTTCAGTTTAAAACCATTGCCGCTTGTTCTGTCACTACAGGCCCTGCTGGGAAGTCTTTGTCTGCCTTATAAGCTTCTTTTGTATATTGAAAGGCCACAATAAGGTTTCACTGCAGCCTTCTCTTCCCCAGGCTGAAAAACCATAACTCGCTCAGCCTTTGTCCATGGGAAAGGTGTTCTAGCCCTCTGTTTTTCTGGCCCTTCAAGAGGTTCACAGGGGCCCACTCCTCAAGCCTGTCAAGGTCCCTCCGGATGGCATCCCTTCCCTCTAGCGAATCAGCTGCGCCACTCTGCCTGGTGTCATCCACAAATTTGCTGAGGGCGCACTCAATCCCACTACCTATGTCATTGATGAAGATATTAAACAGTATTTGTCCCAGTATATGCCCCTGAGGGATGCCACTTGTTACTGGTTTCCATTTAGACACTGAGCCATTGTCTGTAACTCTTTGAATCCAGCAAATTCCTTATCCATTTAACAATTCATCCATCAAATCCATATTTCTCCAATTTGGAGGTAAGAACATTTCGGGGAACCATTTCAAAGGCCTTACAGAAATCCAGGTAGATGGCATCAGTTGCTCTTACCTTATCCACTGGGGCAGTCTCTCCATTGTAGGACGCCACTAGATTAGTCAAGCATGATTTCCCCTTGGTGAAGCCACATTTGCTGTCTTTAATGATCTCCCTGTCTTCCATATGTTCCAACATAGCTTACAGGAAGATTTGTTTTCACCACACACTGAGGTGAGGCTGGCTGGTCTGTAGGTCCCAGGGTCCTCTTTATTATCCTTTTTAAAAATGGCTGTGATACTCCCTTTTCTCCAGTCTCTGGGAACTTCACCTGACTGTGATGACTTTTTAAGTATGATGGGGAGTAGCTTAGCAACTACATCTGCCAATTCCCTCAGGACCCTGGGATGCATCTCATCAGGCCCCTTAGGCTTGTGTTCGTTCATATTCTTCAAATGGTGTCAAACCTAGTTTTCTGCAATGGGAGGGACTTCATTCCCCCAGTCCCTGCCTTGAGGTTCAGGGACTTGAAGATGTGGGCACAGTGATTGCCAGTGAAAACTAAGGCAAAAGAAAATGCTGAGTACCTCAGCCTTGTCAATGTCAGTTGTGACTAGTTCTGCTGGCAAAATTATTGGGGGGGGGGGGGGGGGGGGGGGGGGCAGGTAGGGGTGTGTAGAAATGGGATGGGACATGTTACATTTTCTTTAATCTTCCTTTTTTGAGAAAAAAAAATTCTTTACTGCCCTTGTGTAACTTGCTTTTTCTGGCTAGGCAACTAGGATTTTTGGAATAGTTGTCACATGGAATACTTAGCTTTTGTTTGACGCTGGAGAAGAGGAAATATGTCTGGAACACACTCACTTTCAATGAAAGAAGTCTCCTGCCTCAGGAGCGCACAAACTCACCAGATCTCATCCTGACAGGAGAGAGATGCTGGTGATAGTAGTGTGTTCTCTCTGACAGAAGGATAAAAATATTTAAGGAATTAAGAATGAGGTGGCCAAAGGCAGGCGACCAGGGAATGGGCA